ATTTGCAAGAAATAAATTCGAGTGAATTTGTCGAACGATATGACTAAAATATGCCCGTGCGAAATCATGGAAACTTTCATCGGTATTTTGTTCGATATTTTTTAAACGATTTGGTCGAAGTGTGCCGTACAAAATGAAAAGCTATACTTGTAATGTTCTTCCTGATCTTTCTGATTCTGAAGAGAGTTCCTCAAAAATACGATCAAGAAAGTCGAAATTATCAAATTTATAAAGAAAATGAATTTCTCAAGTCCGGCTCTGGAATATTTTTTCCATAGTAGGCCATCTCATGGAGTATCTATAGACGTGAGTTGCTGATGAATTTCAAGCGATAACAGGGAGACGTTGCTGAAATATCGTTCATTGAAGTTTCGCCCCGAATACAAATAATGCCCTGTATTTCTGTTACGAATAGGCAAAAACAATTTTTTTACATAATCACTACTCACCCTGACTTCCTCTATCCGCCGTTAGGCTATTGCTGGTTGGTCATGACTCACCCTGTATATGGAGTGGCACCAAATTCTCTTTTAACGGCCTGTTCATCGATCGCTTGTCAAGCCAAATCAACTATAAGCTACAGCTCAATCTCTAGTTGATAAACTGTTAATCATTCTTTGAGTTTACTGTAACTGAAAGCTAAAGTATCTGCTAATTTAGCTATGGATTACTGTTCATCAATTATTCAATGAAAATCAAATTTCAATATATATTCATGAATAGGAAAATATATTTTTACCGGGTTGCCTATCGAATTATGGCCGCAAATATTTTCAATTAAAATAATAAAAATCGATTTTCTGCAAAAAACATTAATTTGTTTTTTAAATGAAATATATTCCATCTAGAAAGAGAGAGAAATTACTCTTGAGTTTCTCTCTCTTTGTGACCATTGCATACCACTTTGAGTATCTGACTTTTTCCTTGTTGAAAATACGCCACTCCCATTTCACCTGAAATGAGATCTTGTTTTGGAGTGTTTCTTTTCTTGCTAGGTGGCGTTCGGCGTTCATGTTTCATGTTTCAAACATACTGTGATTATTTTTATTTGAAATATTCTTTTTTTCACCTCATTTTGAACCAATATCGAGAAAGCTATCTAATTTTTCAATATAAGATTCTCGCATCAAAATATCAGCTGTTTCAAAAAAGTCGATGGGCTTTTTGTTCGTTGAAATCTCTTCTTTTTGGTGGTGTAAAAAAATGTATACATCACTATGGAAATAGTTTTCAGAGTATGCAAAGAAACGAAACTCGAATTAATTTTTTTTTTTAAATCTTGCTATTTAAATTTTTTGACAGGGTTGCTCCCCTCCAGTAAGGGATGAAATTAGGAGTAAACTATTCCTACGAAAATGTACACTGTAGAAATCAAAAATCGACGGGTCTCGGCGATTTTTCCAACTACCAGGAAAAAGATGCTTATCGACTTTTTTCAAAAACCAGATATTTTGACGCGAGGGTGCTTTTTTGATATTAAGCCGAATAAGGTGAAAAAATGAATATTTCAAATCAAAAAAATTATAGTATATTTGGAACATAAAAAGGTGGGTTTTCAAAAAATTTCGATTTTTTTTTTGTGAAAGAAAAATAAAAAACCAAAAACTTGTTTATTTGAATTCTTCACATAAATTCCGAGGTTATGTGAAAAAAGTGTGGATATAAAAGTTAAGAGATCTTTGCATTACCTACAACTTTGCCATTCAACTTTCCTCCATAGGCTTTCCATGGGTAGTTTTGCCGGAAATCGAGATAAACGTTTTTTACCCTTGAAAACTCTCCCCCTACCATTTCCCGACCTCAGATCGTCCGTAATTTATTTTCCCTTCCATCTTTGTTATATTATCTTCCATTTCCAACAGGTGTAATCCTACTATAAGTTTTTTTACCTTTTCACCGCTTTCAAAGGCTTCAGCACTGGTCTAAATCGATAACAAATAGTGCAAACAACCTTTCTAATTAGTAGCATGTATAAATAATGTCTTGATTTAAATAATTATTTTGATAACCATGAAGTACAAGTAAAATTTCTCATATAATATCAATACCATTATCAAAAATCATAAACCGCTCTTTTAAGGAGGGCAAATTTCCATGTAACTAAGTGTTCTAAAGTCATTCCTATCTACAAGAATAAAGGACCCCAGAATGAAATGAACTCATATAGACCCATCTCTCTCCAATCTCAGTTTTCAAAAATCATTGAATTTTGTTTTTGCAGCAGACTATATAAATACTTTGGATTTTTTAAAATTCTAACTAATTCACAACATGGTTATCATAAAGATCGTTCTACAATGACAGCAATCGAACAACTCATACAGAGCATAACAGAGGCACTTGAAAACAAAGAAAATACAATGGGTTTATTCTTTGATATGAGCAAAGCCTTTGATATGCTAGATCACAAACTGTTACTCACAAAAATGTATTACTATGGAGTCAGAGGGAGTGCATATGAGTGGATATCTTCCTATCTAGAGAATAGAACTCAAAGTGTGTTCATAAATAACATAGCATCTGAAAGTAAAACTGTCAATAGAGGAGTTCCACAGGGATCCATTCTGGGGCCTTTGCTATTTCTAATATTCATTAACGATCTTCCTACTTTCTGTTCAGATTTATCGACAAGCACTGTTATATATGCAGATGATACAAATATTATAGTGAGAACAAAAGACACTAACATGCTGAGACAACTGGGACAGACTTCAGTCACGCAAATAGCCGATTGGAGTTTAAAGAATGGCTTAATTCTAAACAATGAAAAAACACATTTTATAAATTTCGTGCAAAAAAACTACAAAAACGAGAGTAGCATTTTACTGAAGTTAAGGAAATCGCTTAAGCAAGTTGAAACAACAGTCTTTCTTGGTATAACAATTGATCACAAGTTGACGTGGAAATCCCACATTGAAAATCTAGGATCTAAGTTGCATAAGCAATTGTTTCTTCTGAGGCAATTAAAAGACACAGTTTCTTACAACATTTTATCACTACTATACAGTGTGTCCCACTTACTTCGGTGAGCGATACGAGGTCGGTTAAATGACACCAAATGTGGAGTTTGTCAAGGCCAACTATAATGTGAAAAATGTTTTGATAAAATCTATTCGTTTTTGTTTTATACGCAAAAAACACATTTTGATCATTTTCATGTCTCCTCCGTAACTTCTTTATTTATAATAATAATAATAATAATAATAAATGTCTTTATGGAAATATTCAAATAGGAATTTCACATTCTCATGGCAGTTTTTCAAAGTGATTTCGAAAAAAATATGAAATTTATACCAACTCTTCTAGAATTTGAGATATCAGCACCAACTTTAGTTTTTCAAATGTAGGTCATAGCTCACTATGACTCAGTTACAACTATCTTTTTTTTCTCTTACAGATGATGTGTCGCAGTAATAGTTTTGTGTTGATAACAACGGAGTTATCGTCATTTATACAAAAACAAAAAATTATTCGGAAGCCGCCATCTTGAATTTATGAATTTCGACAGAAAAATCATGATCTCCGACCTCAAAAACTCCCACTCACCAATTTTAAATGGAATCGGAACAAATGTTGGAGCAGCCATTTTTTTAATTTCAACAAAAATTCCATAACTCCGATTAACTTGAAATTTGGCAGGTGTTCATAATTTCGGTGACAATACATTATGGAATTTTTGTTGGAATTAAAAAAAATGGCTGCTTCAAGATGGCGGACAAGATTTGGTCCGATTCCATTCAAAATTGGTAAGTGGGGGTTTTTAAGGTCGGAGATCATGATTTTTGTGTTAAAATTTATAAAATCAAGATGGCGGCTTCCAAATAATTTCTTGTTTTTGTATAAATGACGATAACTCCGTTGTTATCAACACAAAACTATTACTGCGACATATCATCTGTAAGAGAAAAAAAGTTATTTGTTACTAAGTCATAGTGAGCTATGACCTACATTTGAAAAACTAAAGTTGGTGCTGATATCTCAAATTTTAGAAGAGTTGGTATAAATTTCATATTTTTTTCGAAATCACTTTGAAAAACTGCGATGAGAATGTGAAATTCCTATTTGAATATTTTCATAAATAAAGAAGTTACGGAGGAGATATGAAAATGATCAAAATCTGTTTTTTGCGTATAAAACAAAAACGAATAGATTTTATCAAAATATTTTTTCACATTATAGTTGGCCTTGACAAGCTCCACATTTGGTGTCATTCAACCGACCTCGTATCTCTCACCGTTAAAAAGATACCCATGGTGAGCATGGTAAGTGGGACACACTGTATAACAGTGTAATTGAGTCAGTTATTCGTTATGGAATAATTTACTGGGGCCATAGCGCAAGTTCTAAAGAGATTTTTATTTTACAAAAAAAAACATCAGATTGATGCTGACAATGCCATGTTTATATATCTACGAGGTTTTGGTGTTCATCAGAAAGAACTCAACCTCTTTCAAAACGAACGATTGTGTACATGATTATGGTACAAGAGAAAGAGGTTAGTTACACTTGCCATTTAAAAGACTCCAAATCGGCAAAAATGATCCAAATTATATAGGCATCAAATAATACAACAAATTGGATGAATCGATAAAACTTTGTAGTACAATGAATCAGTTCAAGAATAGAATGAAAAAATTCTTAATAGGTAAGGCATTCTACAGTATTGAAGAATTTTTTCTAAACGTTGATGTAACATAATTCAGTAAAATGTTGGCTGTGTAATTTTCACTTGTGATAAGTAATATACTATTTCTTGTGTAGTATTCATTAATTAATAATTATTAAGAGTGTTAGTCTTTGTGTAAACAACATTTTTCCTAGGTAAGTGTAATATTTCTACACTTTCCTTTTTTTGTGACAAGCTGGACAAAATGTGAATATGTCTTAGTTGTACACCATTTACACTTTTATCTAGTAATAAAGTTGATTTGATTTGATAACCAAGATATGCAGCAAACTGTAACATTTTTATGTCCTGAAAACAATTGTTGTACACATACCTGATTCAACTGCTGCAGATTTTGTTGACTAAGGCCCTGCTGTTGGTGAAGCTGCAGTTGCTGTTGACTCAACTGCTGTTGCTGGATGGACTGTCTGCTGATCTGTTGCTGTTGCAACTGACTGATACCTTGATTGAGTTGTTGATTCAGAGCTTGCAAGCCTTGATCCAAACTTTGCTGACTCAACTGGGGCTGCTGAGTCAACTGACTCTGCTGGTTCAATTGATTCATTTGGAGATTCAGCTGTCCGATATTCAGTTGATCCAACTGTCCACCCTGATTAAGCTGTTGGGCCAACTGATTATTTTGGGATTGGGCTTGCTGAGTCATTTGGGTTTGTTGGCTCAACTGCTGATTGAGCTGTTGTTGATTGAGCTGTTGTCCCAAATTCTGTGTGCTAAGCTGCTGGTTGAGAGCATGCACACTGAGGTTCTGTGGATTCACACTTTGCTGATTCAAACTCTGTTGATTAATGCTCCTTTGATTCAAGTCATCATTCTGAGAAAACGGTGGTACGAACTGCTGTTGTACAGTCAAATTTGGCTGGTTGTGAATTTGCTGATGGCTTGACACCACCTGCTGTTGATTCAGGAACTGTTGTTTTTGTTGCAAGATCTGGGTATTCGCCTGGGAGATCAAGTGCTGATTCATGTTTTGTTGCAAGAAAGCTTGCCCTTGACTCATTTGGATATGTTGCGGGCTTTGCTGCTGATTCATTTGACTCGCTTGATTGCCCGCTTGTACCACTTGATTTTGCAGTATTTGTGGCTGATTCTGTACTTGTTGATTTTGGAGTTGGATATGCTGATTTTGGTTCAAGTGAATCTGTTGACTTTGCTGCTGGACTTGTTGGTTTTGACTGAGTGGTATATGCTGTTGATTTTGGCTTGTTTGAACTTGCTGGCCTTGATTCATTTGGATGATTTGCTGATTTTGACTAGGTTGAAGCTGTAGTTTATTTTGACCTATCTGTATCTGTTGTTGATTTTGATTCAAATGCATCTGCGTGTTTTGGTTAGCCTGACTTTGTTGCTGACTCTGATTCATCTGGATCTGTTGATTTTGATTCATCTGAAGCTGATGCTGGTTTTGTGACATCTGCTGATTCTGCTTCAATTGAATTTGTTGTTGTTGCAACTGTGTCAATTGCTGTTGACTCATCTGACCAAGGTGAGAGTTTGGAGTGATATGTTGTTGATCTTGTAGAATTTGTGGCTGGGTAGCTCCTACTTGTGGCTGTTGCTGCTGCTGCTGTTGTATCAACTGACCTTGGTTCATCTGGTTTTGTAACAGCTGTCTTTGCCGCTGTGCCATCTGCTGTTGCATGAAGTGTTGTGGATTAGGAGACCTCTGGATGATGCCACTTTGATTCTGTTGTTGCATCAGCTGTTGGTGTAACTGGCTTTGCTCCAACTGGCCGCGTAACTGGAGATTGGACCTCACCTGGGGCTGCCCAACCAGCCTATTTATATTCAAAGGATTAGCCTGTGGCTGGAAATTGGTTTGCTGAGTGGGCGTATGATGTACGATACTTTTCGGTATTTTTTGACTTTGATTCGCCAGAGAAGTAGGTGTGAAATTTGATTGGACTGGAGATGGAGGAGCAACTTGCTGCTGCGGTTGAAAATGGGAGGTTGGAGTTTGGGGTGGTTGTATTCTGGGAGGTTGGCTCGAAGGCTGGCTTGAAACATAACTGGGGGCAACGACATTCGGTGGGCCTACAGGATCCGAGCTCGATATCATCGTCGTGGTGACTGGTTGATTCCAAGGCATCCTCTGCTTCAGTTTCGCGAGAAGAGCTTGCGTAGTATCGGATACTATTTTTTCTCCGCTTTCTTCCTCTTCAATCACTTGTTCAGGTTCGAAACCAGTGATGGCGGTGGTACTTTCATGTTTTATTGGTTTCGGCCAATCTATTAGCTTGGGATGGAACAAAACATGATCAATAATTGATTTGTTTTTTACTGCCTCAACGACCCAGTCCGGGGTGACGATTTTGATAACTTCTGAGCCTAAGCTGTCTGCCTTTTCGAATTTTGCACCTTCTGTGATGGTCGTAATGAGGTAATTACATTTGCTGTTCAAGTTGAGCTGCACAATACCTCCATTGAAGGTTATGAGTGCCCATAGAAGATTTAAGTCTTCCCTTATATTGCTGAAGCAAAATATAAGATTTGTGAACAATTTTCCACTTGGTACGTACGAATATGGTTTGGTATCTACAATTTTTTTCAAACCAGTGCACATGAGTACCCATTTTGGGGTTAACACTGGAATCTCATAAACATCAAGGCCGTCTGTTATGTCGTTTTCTTCAGGATTTTCACCAACAATAAGGTGAGTAACATAGTCAGAGAAGTAGTTGATTCTTTCGGCGCCGCCATTTCTCAATGCATCTAATATCTGTAAAAAGAGAACAAAACTAATGAATATGAATACCAATGAGGGTTTCACGAGTTACTGTGAAATGAAGACCAACAATAACTTAAATACTGTGTGTTTCAAATTCGAACACAACTTACGCGATTGAGAATGGTTCAATTATTCAATTTTTTCGAACAAATTGGGAATTATTCAAACCTTAGAATCAGCTTTGAATTGAGCAAATTAGAAAGGATTATAGTTAAATATAACATTTAATTTGCAATTAAAAAGTATTGAATATTCAATTTATCTTAAATAAGAAGTAAAATTTACATTTAGTTTCGACCTAAACCGAGGCGAAAGTTCATTAAAAGAAAAAATATACATATACTATGTATATATAAATCCTTTATTCAGTCTACAAAAAACAAATATGTAATACTGTAATCTGTAATACATGCATAGATAAAAAATGACGTCATACAGTTCATAATTGAAAATCACAATACATATAAAATGGAACAGAAAAAAATAACATACATATCAAAAGAGATCACATAAACATTGAATATAAAATCCTTTTTATTGGTTGATCAGATGCTGTTATAATTCCTCCTTGAAGATATTCATTGATGAAGAGCCTTTTATATCAATGGGAAGATTATTAAATTCACTCCTTCACCTTTCACGAATACCAAGTTATACATATGTAGAATTTTCAGTGACTGCAGGAATTCTTGAATGTTCTCGGTTTCTTGTATTATGCTCATGTATAAACAAGAGGTACTTTTTATTGATAACCATTTCATTCTCTCTAACATCGAGCTTACAGAATCATATCGTGAACAGTACAGTAAAATTCGCATTGCGCGATTTTGTAATTTTTGTAAACACTGTAATTCATTCCGATTCAATAAGTATAGAATAGTAGCACAATAATTGAAGTGAGGCAATATAAGTGTATTGTAAATGGTAGTTTTTGTCCATTTTGATAAATGTTGTGAACACCTTCTCAAATAATTAATTTTGAATGAAATTGTTCTAATGACAATTTTAGCATGTTCTTCAAACTATAATTTACAATCTATTACTACTTCCAGATATTTGAATTTATCTACCCTTTCCAGCGACACTCCACCAATAGATACATCCATTGGAGATTCAATGATTTAATTATATTCCCCTTTCTTACAAATTATCAACCATTTTGATTTTGCTACGTTTACTTTCAATGCATCTCCACAGCTTTAAAACAATTTACATTTACTGTGTCATTAATATATATCTGAAATAGTAAAGGCTTCAACACACTCTCTTGGGGTACTCCAATTTTGTTTTCTACAATATCTGAAGTTTTATGATTAATTCTATCTTTTTGTTTTCTATTATCTAGATAGTATGACAACCAGTGACGGCTCGTCAGGGACGGCAGGGTCGGCCGGGCCGTACCAAATAATTTGGGGAAAATTACTGAACTATTTGGTGAATACAATTATTTTCCGAAACTGTTTTCATAATTCATCGTTCATTATCCTACTGTAATGTTATGCCACTATTATTTCAATTCCATTCACTAGAACCTTTGAGTATGCCATCCGCATATACTCCGAAAATCACGAACTAATTCAGGACCTACGACATCTGGTAATCCCATCGTCAAAACGCCGCTTCAAGTTGAAACGCTCGCGTAGCTCATTACACTGATGCAGACGGCCGGCCGATCGGTGGTTTCTTGTCTCGACGCATCGCCTACAGATTCCCCGCTTCAAGTTTGAATTCTAGCGTATACGCGAACGATACGCGTCATACCTTGGGTGCGGCCAAGCTCTGCTGGCCGTCCGTACGTACGTAATCAGTAGTTTGCAGTGCGCTCGCTGTGCACCGTATCCGACCATTCCGACCTAATTTTTAATATACGGATTGGCATGATTGACATTCTATTTTAATTTTACATTGTAGGTATTTATAATTTTTATTCCTATACTTATTTGTAAGTTGATGTTGAAATTTGAAATGTACAGGGTGGCCAACTGAGACTCCAGAGTTCGATTTCTCTGTTGTCTTGAGAGATACAGAAAAAATTCATGTATCAAAATTGAAGTAATAACCGAGCTTCACATTTCAAAATTTCTTGGAAATACACAGGGTGTTCCGTAAGGTCACAGCACATCAAAGCTATGTTTTTTTCATTGGAACACCCTATATTTCATTTCATTTTTGAATTCTCCCTGAAGATCTGATTTCAACGACCCATCATACTTAGGGTTCAGCAGTGAAAGTTACTGACATATAGGGTGTGCAAAATCGAGATTTTCCAAGTTCAGGATTTTTTTCTGTCGAAACTGTTCATTATTCGTCAAAACGGTTTACATGTCCCTATCTCAACTTTTCACTCACTATCAATTGGTGTTCGATTGAAATTGATACAAGGAGGTAAAAAATCTAAATTTATAATTTGTTTCAATTACGGAACACCCTATGTATTTCCAAGAGATTTTGAGATGTGAAGCTCGGTTATTACTTCAATTTTGATTCATGAATTTTTTTTGTATCTCTCAAGACAACAGAGAAATCGAACTCTGGAGTCTTAGTTGGCCACCCTGTACAAACTGAAAAAATTTCGATGTTTTTGTTCACGTTTGCAGTAGTTGCAGTAAAAATGACTGGTGATTTTTGAATTTGTAATTTTTCAGTGATTCATAATTCAACATATCCATCTAATATTGGTATCAGAATTTTCCTTCAGTGCCTCTGAGCGTCAATAAGTTATAATTCAATTTGAATATTGTAATGTAACCTACTGTGCCTCTGCCTATGTAGGTAAATATGGCAAGAAAAATGTCAGCAGTCCAAGAGCTGAGTAGGTATTGAAACATCGTAAAAAAGCTCTGGTGACGAAAATGTAATAAATGTATAACTTCCAGAATATCATTTATTTTCAAAGACGCATGTAGCGGTTATAAATAATATTTATGCATCCATCGCGGGAAACATTATACCAGAGATTATACACTCCTGATTATACCTACGGCTGCACGGCGGGCTCGGCCAGCCGACTACTAAGGAGTGGGGTGGCTTGTTACAGGAACGGCGTAGAGCGTAGACCGATTTAGTCATTGTTGTGCTTCTCGCGTTAAGTGAGTGGTTGTCGGTTATGTTGATTTTTTTGAGTGTACGTTACGTTTTCAACAGAATATAAATATTTTTTTTCTGTGACGGGAAAAAAGTTTGGCATTTCATCTCTGTTGGCAGGTTATAAAATGTCACTTTTCATAAATTACTTTTTTCCCGTGGGAAAAAAGTGAGTACTTCTTTCCCGGATATATATCACATATATATACTCTGTTAATGGCTTTTGTTGTGCTATAGTTCCGAAAAATAAGTCAATAATACCGTCTCCGAGAAAGAACTGAAGTCCTTTCATCTTCCATTCGACTTCGCGGTTTCGTATATTACTAAACAACTACTGAATTCGCAATTTTTTAAAATCAAATCACAGAATTGAACTGACAGAAGTGACATCAGATATTTGATTACTTCAAAAGAATGATAAAGATGTCTATAAAACGCAGGTGTCCCTACTGTTAAAAACTTGAAATTTCACGTCGATAATTTTCAGATTTCGAAATAATGTAATATCTTCCCAATATTGATTCGTCCTTCCTTCTGTCACAGAAAAAAATAGTGTATTATACACGGGAAAAAATTAGATTTTAGCTCACGGTTTTTTGTCTCCCTCCGCTACGCGTCGGGAGACAACACAACCTGGAGCTAAAATCTACTACTTTTTTCCCTTGTATAATAAATAACTATTTGTTCACGAGTTATTTTATTTTTATTTTTTCGACTTTCTTGTTATTATTTTTTCATACCAACTAACCATTATCCACCTCCTTTTCCTTTCCCCATTTCCCCTGGCGAGAATGCTCTAACCTCGTGGTTCTTGCTGCACAATTTAATTTTTTGGTTATGTGTACAGGGTGATTCACCATAAATGTCCCCCCCTTTAGCTCAGTTATTTTTAAACCGATTTCAAAATTTGAAATATCATCTTGAATGATTTTTGATTGAGTTTTTTTTCCGCTACATCAGAAAATACAGGGTGCTCAGAACAAACGATCTACAGGGTACCATTTGATTTTTTTATACGGAACACCCTATTTTTCATTGTATTTTTAGATCCTCCCTGAAAAGCTGATTTGCTCAATGTATCACACTTGGGGTCTATCGGGAATGATTACAGAGATATAGGGTGTTCAAAATCGAGATTTTTCAACTTTAGGATTTTTTTGAGACGAAACTATTCATCATCGGTCAAAACGGCTTTCATGTCCATATCTCAACTTTTGATTTACTATCTACTGACAATTAATAATTGGAACACAGATACAGGGTGATCAGAATTCTGAATCTTGAACCACCCTGTAAATGTTCCAATCAAATCTCAATAGACAGTTAATCAAAAATCAAGATGGAAACATAGGAGCTGTTTCGACCAATAATGAATAGTTTCGAAACAAAAAAATCCTAAACTTGAAAAATCTCGATATATCTATGTTATCATTCCCGCTAGACCCCAAGTGTGATGCATTGATGAAATTAGCTCTTCAGGAAGAATCTAAAAATACAATGAAATACAGGGTGTTCCATTTGGAAAAATCGAGTAGTACTCTGTAGATTATTCGTTCCGAGCACCCTGTATTTCCTGATGAAACAGGAAAAAAAATTCTGAGAAATCATTTTAGATCATCCTTCAAATTTTTAAATCGGGTCAAAAATAAAGTGAGCTAGAGGGGGGGACAATTATGGTGAATCACCCTGTACATGCTTATTTGCCATCGAACTTCACTCAAGCCGCTGACCCAACGTGTTACGTTCGCATTTTAGAGCAATATCTATACCCTGGCCGACCCAGGTTCTGAGGGCACGAGCCGTCACTGATGACAACCATTGTAAGGCCATTGTCGATCTAAATGAAAACCTAGTAGGCGACCTAGTACGCGAGGAGGTACAATATTGTCTGTTCTTTGAATCAAAAT